CATTAGCACCTCTAGTAATATATTTACTGAGAAAAATGGTGACGTGTTCAATACTTATTTTACCCGCTGTACCTCACTGAGGTTTGAAGTGTGCGACTTCTCTTAAGGGTCACGTCACAAGAAACTCACCACAGAAAGCTGTTGTTTAACGACACTAATGAACTTTGGCTGCTTGAATCATCTCACATGATTTAAAGAGGACATGTGGCTGCTGGTTAAACAGACTGGGAGTGCCTCAAAGTGAAAATAAAACTGTTTTCATATTGTATATACATTTTTTTTTTCATTTGAAGTATTTTTACTGTGTTTTTATGTCTGTATAAAAAGCTGTTTTTCATATTAAAGTACATGGTTTACATATTTACACTCCTGTGTAGTTATCGCTCATGACCTGACATCATTTGCAAACTGGAACTGCAAACATTTGCCTAGATTAAACAAATGCTTTTAGACGATCAGTTTAAGAAAACATTGAACCTGTTTTTACCAAGTTAGAAGCCTGAATAAAGAATATGAACCACGCTTTGTACCATTTTATGCTTTTATTTTCTGTCAGTATAGTTTTTCTTTCCCTTCGTTGAGTCTAGTTTTGGTGTTTGTTGTGTGACCAGCAGAGGGGGCGCATGTTCTTCATGCAACATCCTGTTATCACATGGCTTTAATTAAACTGTTTTAAGAAACACTGAGCCTTATTTTTTTATTTTTTGAGGAATGATCAAAAAATATGCTAAATGCTAATCACAACTTACACATTTTTTAGACACACAAAACTGAAAATTAGTGCAGAAGTGTCTGTAAATATAACTAAATTCTAAATATTAATCAAAATGAAGACTATAATTTTAAGTCATTTTAAGACTTATTGAGATTAAGTTTGCAGTGGAGCAGCTGAGACTGATCGTACCTGGGGTGGAATCAGAGACCAGGTGTGGCCACCCATCAGGCTCCGCCCCTGGATGAAGCCATTCACTAAAACCCAATTCGATTCTCAATTTTAAGTTCACAATTGTGATTATTTTCAAGTTATTGTTGTTGTTTTTTTTTGCCATTTTATAACCAAATATATATTTTTTTACAATCGACATTTTTGTCCTTGTATCAAACTAACTGGCTGTTGTCTTAGTAAAAGAATATAACTTCAAATTAAGTAAAAATGTCATTACAAATCCTTTCATAACTTTAACTTATCAGGTAACCAGCTGAATTTGACTTATTTTATTTTTAATTTTAGAAATTTATTCATTTCAATAAAAACTAAACTATATACAATAGGAAATAAAAAATATACAAATCAAAGATAAAAAAAAATGAAAGGCAGCAGAAAGAAGAAAAAACTAACCTACAAAATACACAATTCCTATATACACTAACAATGAAATTGATTCATTCATTTTTATGAATTGATTCACATTTTAAGCAGCTATAATTGATTCTCATTTAATTGTTACTACCTTACTTTTAACTCATGATGCAACCAGCACCATTTTGTGACTTGCATTATGTTTATAGTGTGTGCTAAAGATGACATGAACACCTTCACACACAGACAGGTGATAACAAACCCTCCCTGTACAAAATAAAGGAGTTTTGCTATAATCAGGTTTGTGGCGGCAGAAAGCCGAAGAAAACAAGGACAACCTATCAGTTTGTCCCTCTGATCAGACTATAATAATCAGAGGAATTAATTAACACCCAGGAGCTTCACCTGAGGCTCCTCCCTTCTGTTTACGTAAAGGTTTAGTAATTTGCTGGCAACGGGACAAAATCAGCTTTGGCTCGGCCTGTGTACGTCTAATAGGCTAATAGACATTAGCTGGCTGTGCGGGTGGTCCATCTTCTCAATCCTATTTTGAGAATTGTCAATCGTCTCAAGCCAGATTTACTATAAGGAGCGTTGCTGAGCTTTGATAGCTCCGTTACAAACAGGAAGTCAATCTGAAGAGTGTAAAATGTGCTCCCTCTGCGCTTGGAATCGGTTGACAGAGCAAGTTTAACAACTGCGGGACATTTATTTGTACCAAACCTTTCACGTCATTTTAGTTTGGAGGCTGCTCGCTTCATCAATCCCCTCATTGTTGTATTGATGAAAAAATTTAACGTAGCCCCGGCACAAACAGAGCAATGTTGTATATGCTGTTAAGTGCCAGGAGGACTGCGACCAGTTATACATCGGGGAAACAAAGCAGCCACTGTTCAAAAGAATGTCCCAACACAGACGAGCTACATCTAATGGCCAGAACTCTGCAGTTTTCACTCATTTACAGGCCAGCGGTCACTCCTTCAGAGATGAGGATGTTCTCATTCTTGATAGGGAGGAACGTTGGTTTGAGAGAGGAGTAAAAGAAGCCATTTTTGTGAAGAAAGACCGTCCATCATTAAACAGAGGTGGAGGCCTCCGTTTTCAGTTGTCCCCCTCCTACAGTGCTGCTATTGCCAGTATCACTCCACCCCCTGTTAACAATAGGTGTTAATTAGGTGTCAACGATAGACATGTATTGTATCAGTCACATGGAGGCAGGGCTTAAAAGCCTGAATTTTGCCTGAAACTCTCAGACTGAAGAAGTCTCTTGGAGGAGAGACGAAACGTTTCATTAGAGAAGAACCCGTCCAGAGGACCTTTACAATTTTTTTCTTTTTGAACATGTAGCTCATTAAGAAGAGTAGACCGTTTAGGCTTACATTTACGTATCAACAAGCTCGTTAATGTAAAACATAATGAAGAGAAAAAAATACAGCTACTATTAATTCATATTGCTGTAATTAAATTCTGTTAGATAAACACACACACAAAAAACCCCTATAAACTCTTTAATAAATAAACCTTTAATATTGCATTCTGATGCTGTAACCTCTGAGTAAACACTATAACTGTCATTCAGGCCATAAAATCACTGACTCAAACAAACTTGTCAGATCTGTCAGAGTTTGCTGTTACCATCCTGAGCAAGGAAATGTTAAAATAATTTGATTTCATCAGGCTCACTGAGAATTGCTGCATATTTTATAACGTGTATAATAAGCATGATAATGCATGTATGTGCAGACATCATCCCTAACCTCTACAGCAGGTTGAAAAAGTAATTAATTAATTAATTATAACCTATTTTTTTGTTTGAAGCCATTGATCCATATTTAGGTCTAATCGTGCTGAATAATGACATCCGGCCCACTTCTCTCTACAGATAGAACGTCCTGAGGTTCCAGGAAGAAGCTGCAGCCTTCCCATTAAAGGGTTTATCTCTCCTCGGGGCTTAAAGATTAGTTCAGACTTTGTGCTGCGTTTCAGGCAGAAACCAAAAGGTGCTGAAGCCACGCCATCTCCTCCAGCTTTCTCTGTCCCCCCCGGCTTCCTGCAAACCCCAGTTCTCCAAAGGAGCGATGGGTTCCCACGGAACGAAACTGGACGACATCCTGGAGGAGGACATGCACCACTGGTACACAAAGTTCATGAGGGAGTCCCCCTCAGGGGTCATCACGCTGTTCGAGCTCAAGACCATGCTGGAGATGAACGGGATGTCAGAGGAGGCCAGCAGCTACGTGGACCAAGTCTTTTTGACCTTTGACATGGATGGGGTAAAAAATATAAACTTTTTTTTTTTACCTTTCTACCTTATTTAAATAATAATTATTAATTTATTTAACTATAATCGTGACTTCTGCGTTAGTTAGAAGGGAAAGTACGGAAGCCGAGAGCTGCTGTTTTCTGTATATATTTTTTCCATGATTTTCTAGTGATAGACATTATTTGTCTCAATTGAATTTGCCTTATTAAATAACGATAAACAAACAAACAAACAAACAAACTTAATCAGTGAGCCGAGGGGACCAGGTTGTCTACATGGTTACTGATTGATGCACAAGATGAAAGCTATCTGGAAAAAATATTTTTTTTACTTTGTTAATTTTTTTTGAAAATAAACAAAATTTATATACACTAAAAATACAAATCACATATAAAATGAAAAGCAGTAGATAGAAGAAAACAATCTTATAGTATCTGCGCCTTTTTCCTCCCAAAATTAATACTGTTAAACAATAATAATCTACAAAACAAGACAAACTAAACAAAAACAACCTCAAATCCTTACCAAACAACAGTTCATATGAATACACATTATATTGTTTTTTTCTTAACAAAATGACTTTTATCATCCTCTGAAACATAAATATTGATCTGGCATTTTTGACATCACTCTCCAGATTGTTCCATAATCTTATTCCTTGTATGGAAGTACATCGCTCCCAAAAACCAGTTCGAAATCCAGGTTTCACAAACCCACTTCAGATCATAACAACTTTCTCTCTTAACAAAATTAAATTGGTTGTTTAAAGGTAATATACATTTGTGAGCCTTATACATAATCTGTAAAATATTATAATCAACCAACTCATAGAATTTCAGTAATTTCAACTGATAAAATAATGTATTTGAAATGAACTCGTTATCTCGAGAAAACACTCCTTATTTCACGATAATACGTTGTTATCACGAGGAAACCATGGGGGGAAAAATATATGCCTGAAATGGCCACTCTCAGCTTCCGTAGAAAAGTGGCTTTACTCATGTAAACGTCTTTTCAGAACCAAAAAAATAATTTGACTAGAAATAATGTTATGGAATAAACATATTTGATGTTTTTGGTGTGATTTGTTGTTAAAAAAGCACAAAAAATTTATTACTATTTTTAATTTCAAAATGTCACATGTTGAATAATGTAAAAATTTTAAAATCTCAGTTCAGTAAACAATGATGCAATCATTTTTTACTGACATTATCTGTCTTTTTCCTCCCCCTCAGGACGGCTATCTAGATTTTGTGGAATACATCGCAGCTATAAGCTTGTTGCTGAAAGGAGAGGTGAACCAGAAACTGAAGTGGTACTTTAAGCTCTTTGATCAGGACGGAAATGGGAAAATTGACAAAGAGGAGCTGGAAACTATATTTAAGGTACAGCGTTGTCTCTGCTGTTGTTTCGTAAACTGGGGTTCTTTGTTTATAACAGGTCGTGAACTTGACTGAACATCTAATCTGTGCACGTCTTACCTCATCGGTGAGCTAAATGTGGCCTTTAATCTAACTCACAGGCCAATTCTCACGCAACAATCACGCTCTGTCACCGAAAGGTTCACTTGTTGGTGCAAAAAACAATAAAACCAATATTATTTAAGCATTATTGATTATAAAACACTGTTTAATTTTACAACTCATGCCCATACCCTTAGCGAAAAGTAGTATACTTGAAGTTCATTTTAATAAGTATATTTGAAAATAAGTTTATCAAGTATATTGGCCACCATGTACTTGTAGTGTACTAGAAGGTATACTGATTTAATACTCATTCGTACTAAATTGGGACCTTTTTTTTTTTTTTTTTTTACAGAATAGTATACTTTAAGTATACTGTTATGTCTTTTTAGGTTTATAAACTTACCAAAAAGAAGTACACTTTAAGTACATGGCATTACAAAAGTACATAAAAGTGTATTTCCCTAAGTGGACTTATAGCTAAGTATACTACCAGTTTACTAACAAGTATACTTCTAGGACTAAATTGACCCAACAATAAGTTTAATAAAGTATAGTGAAAGTAATCCAAGTATACTTTTAGTTTAATCTTGAAATATACTACAAATTAACCAGTCTGTGAATTTGTACTTTCAGTGTACCACTAAAGTTTCTCTTGGCCAAAAGTTTAATCATTATAGACTAAGTATACTTAAACTTTTAGTATACTTTTAGTACAAGCCAAGTATAGTGTAAGATAAACTTGGTTAAGTATATGTCGGATGAGTACATGAAAGGTAAATTGGAAGTATACTCTTTTCATTTTTTGTTTAAAATTAGTACTTTCTTACATTTACTACTTTTTGCTAAGTTTGAATTTATCTGCATAACGTCTTTCAGGCTATTCAAGATATCACCAGAAGTTATGACATCCCTCCAGACCAGATTGTGAATCTTATATATGAGAGGATTGACATCAAAAGAGAAGGTAAATATAAATCATATAGTTCATGTAAAAAAAAAAGTAAATAAGTTGTGCGAGGTTAAGAAAACCTTCTCCTCTCAGGTGAGCTGACGCTGGAGGAGTTCATCAGCGGAGCCAAGGAGCACCCGGACATCATGGACATGCTCACCAGGATGATGGACCTGACCCACGTCCTGGAAATCATCATCAAGGGTCAAAAGAGGAAAGCTTTGAAATGAGCCCGGGAGCCACAAACAGGATTGTGGGGGAGAGCTGCTTCAGGAGAGTTAATCCAAATCTCTGACTGCAAAAAATAAATAAACCCAAGCTGCTGAGCTGTGGTGCAGAGGAGACGCACAGAACTTCCTCCTCTGCTGGTGCTCTGTGGGCTTTATTTACAGCTTTGCTTATAGGCGTCAAGCACTTTTTTATGAAATGAGATTTAGATAAACGAGGACAATTTTCTTCAAGGAGCATTTAATTTTGTGCAGATTGGATGAAAAACATCAGATCAATTTGTATCAATTGGAGCTCATCTTATAGAAAGCCTGAAGTGATAAAAAACGAGTTAAATGCTCAAGTTCAAAAAGTTTTAGTGCAATTTGGATTTATACACAGGCGGCACGGTGGCTCAGTTGGTTGATGCCTCTCAGCAAGAAGGTCACCGGTTCAAATCCCGGTCCGGGGACCTTTCTGGGTAGAGTTTGCATGTTCTCTCCGTGCAGGCGTGGGTTCTCTCCGGGTACTCCGGCTTCCTCCCACAGACCAAAAACATGACTGTTAGGTTAATTGATAACTCTAAATTGTCCCTAGGTGTGAGTGAGAGAGTGAATGGTTGTTTGTCTCGTTTGTCTCTATGTGTGGCCCTGTGATGGATTTGCGACCTGTCCAGGGTGTACCCCGCCCCTCGCACTGTGACCGCTGGATATGGGCACCAGTGACCCACGCGACCCTGAAAAGGAAGAAGTGTGTACAGGAAAAGGATGGATTCATACACATCTTTTCCCTTTTAGCTAAACTAAATTCTAACAGTGGTTCTAAAGGTGGTCTGGACTCGGTAGAAACTAGGATTAGCATGTAAAACAGCCATCGAGATGAGATTATTTAAAAACTGTGACGCTGATTAAAACCTGCAGCTGCACTAACTGGATCCATACATGGCTGTCAACATGAGGTTTTACAAATTTTTGCTACTATTAAGATAAAAATGATGCCTTTTATTATCTTTTTTAAAGGAAGCAATAACTGGGAGTGTTTATGATGTGATGCACTTGTGGAGAACTGCAGAAACTGAACTGATTGTCTTAACTTTTTTTCTTTTTGATTTATAACAGGTTTTTAAAGTCGTTGTGCGTGGCTCAGGCTGTGGTGAAAACTAATTATTATACATTTTTGAAAATAGAATATAATGTAAAAGCATGCAAATGAAGTTGACTCAGTGTTGCCCTCTTGTGGCCAAAATGACTTTTTATGGCTTTTAGTGCAACAGACTTATCAGTGTGTGGTATAATCTGTATTTGTCAGAATTTATAACAGGTTTTATGTAAAATGAGTCAGTGCCTGTGAATGTAAGATGTAAAATAAGTTCTGGCAAAGCTGAAAAAAATAAACAGTTGCATCAACATGAAAACCCCCCATGAAACATGTAATTTTGTTTTTGTAAATGGTCCGAAATGATGACATCTGAGTTCAAAACCGTGAGATGACCTCAACCTGCCAAAGGGTTTACTCTGGGTGAAACCTGAGCTCAACCTGTGTGTTAACAGAAACGATCAGCCAACGTTCAAACGTGACGCCGACGGTCTGCGTGGTTAATAATTCCACAGAAGCACATTTTGATGCAATCTGTTCTGAAATTAGAAAGTGAAGATACCGTGGGTTGTGTAAACCAAATAAAGATAAGGTTCGACTCAACAGAGCTCGCAGGTTTTAGTCTCGGATGATGCCGTGGCGTAACCGCACGGGATCAACCCACTTCTTGGCCGTATAAAACTGCAGTTTTGCAGCTCACAGCTCTGCACTGCTTCCTGCTGTCCACCACCCATCGCTCGGGAGCAGCTGTCCCACCCCAGCAAACATGCAGTCCGCCGACGTCGGGTTCAACAAACGCAGCCTGGTTCTGACCCTGAAGCGGTACAGCTCGGCCGTGGGCGACATGGAGCGGACGGTCCTCGTGCCCAGCCTGCTGCGCGACGTGCCCTCCGACTGCGAGGCGGCCGACGACGCCCGCAGGGACCTGTACGCCGACTACTCCATGCTCAGAGCCATCCGAAACACGGCGGAGAGCAGCCTGGCTCCGCCGCTGCCGCCGGACGACCTCAAGGCCAAGACGTCGGCGCTCGCCACGACCCCGGAGCCTCTCCTGGACGCCGACCCCGAAGCGCTCTTTCTCTTCCACCTGAGAGGACTGTTCTCTGTTATGAACGACCTCACGAAGACGACTAAAAGCCTCACTGAGAGGTACCTGGACATCATTGGAGTGGCATCACGTTAAATTTGCAGACGTGCAAATATCTGGAGTTTGTAAAATACGTGACGGCTGCACTGTTTTCAACCAAAGACCCTCAACTTCTGTTGAAAATGGAATAAATGTGCTTTGCCAAAACTGATCTATTGTGCCTCCTTTTTCACAGCTTGTTATTTAAAAATATTGTCATGAAGGTTATAGTTTATGAATAAACCTAACCAATCTCACTAAAGTAAAAATCAGTCAGAAAATGAATAGGTTGGGTATTTTTTATTTACACATCTATACTTTACAAACAGGTAGCTCAAGTCGTTACTGTTTGTCCTTTGTTCCCTCTGTTCCCTCCTCTCATCAGCCACACACACTTAGCGGATAGGAAAGAATGGCTCCACAATCTCTGCAAAGGTCTTTTTTTCTGGTAGGATAAAAGAAACATGACTTTACTGTAGATAAAAGCAGACGCTTGTTCTTAGACGAGAAGTTAGAACACAGCAAATACTCCGAAACGCCAAACCTGAGATTAGAACATGACAATATTCATTACATAAAAACAGAATATAAACCATAAAGATGTTTAAAAAGTTTACAATTTTGTGTAAATTGTTTAATATTTAATTATGACTCATCACATTGAACTGAGGAGTAAGTCAAAGTGGTATGTGGAGGAAAAAAAATACCTATAGTGCATTGGTTCAGACATTTTCAATAACTGCATTCAGTCAAAGCATAATGAATAAATACTTTATCTATGGATCCTTTGAATGAACGGTCCGAAATATAATCTTAAAGAACTTTTTGAAACACTTTTTTTAACAGTAACAACAAAAAAACTGTTGTTGAGCAGAAAAGACTACATTTTTTTTTTACGATTTTCCCCTGCAAAATAGCAAAGATTTTTTTTCTTTCCAGCTGGAAAATCTCAATTTCCAACTAGACATGGGTTTTTACGATGTAAAAACAAGTGTGCATTGCATTGCAGCATGGCTTTGCCTGCAGCATTGGACTTGCAGAATGAACTTTGGCCAAGTTCAAATGTGTTTTCAATACCAGCTTGTGCCTGCCACATCAGCAGGTGTTTGTAATTAAGGTAATTATGTGACAATATGAAATTTGAAGATATTTTTTGTTAAAGTTGCAATAGCTGGGTTTTGAACCCTGATCTCCCACATGAAAGTCCATGACATAGACCATTAAACCAGTGGAACTGTGGCAGAAGATGGTGGCAGGGGTTGATTTGTACGTGTGCAGAAAGAGGCCACATTGCCAATACAATTATTGACACAAAAATGCATAATATTACAACAATCAAGCAGTAATAAGACAATTATAGTAAAACACCAAAATGCAATCATATTAGTACTGTAAACACTGAACTACTGAGTTGAAATATTAAACTATGGTGCAGTACCAAGTTGAGTACAGCATGGGGCAGTATTGGACCAATACAAGGCTCCATTGACTGCCATTATATTTCATTAAACATTAATATTTCATAAACTGTAAGTTTTACAGGCACCAAAAGGCATAGCCATCTTTTGGCACAGGAGCGTTACAGATATAAATTACAATGGCAGCTCTAGGACAAAGTATGCAGGAGGAGAAGCATGGCAAAGTTGAGATGACTTGGATGGGAAATGAATCACAATAGTGTGCACTGAATATTGTTGGAGGTTTCTTCTTTAAAATGACATCAAAAGTTACAACACACACACACACACACACACACACACACACACACACACACAGAGAGAGAAAAAAAACAGGATTCAGACAAAATATCAGAGGTTTATCTTGATGAAAAAGACAAATAAAGTCATTTCTCTGGAACTGATGAGAATGTGCTTGGTTCATTTTGACTAAAATCTGACCTAATCCTCAGTTTGATGTGATGGGTCACATATACAAACAGTGAATTACTGCACCTTTGTAGCTTTTAAACAGTTATACACAGTATGTACAAACAAATCTGGATATGAGCTACATGCTATAAATATTTCACTTGTTTTAGCACATTTTCTAAGCATTAAAAAACAATTAAAATGTTCACTTACCTTTTTGTGGAAATCTGTCCGGATGGAGTTTAATGTACCCCGATATGTCTCGATCCCGTTTGGCGCCAATGTAATTTGCACGCTTTACGTGATGATAGCCATAGCACCAGCAGATTGTTGTAAGGAGAACTTGTCGATGAACGCCTAAAAAAATAAAAGAAATGTAAACAAACTCAACACAGTGGATAACGGGCACGCATAATACACAAAATAAATTATGAGCCATTACAAAAAAAAAGGTAATTTTGAACTTTTAATAAGAGCAAAAAGTGAGCTGCTTTTAGTTTTTAATGTCTTTGTTTTTGGAAAAGCAGCTCTGTGAGCTGCTTTTCCAAAAACAAAGACATTAAAAACTAAAAGTTCTGAAAAGCCACTAACATGCCGAGATGCACATCAGACAGACGCACGACACCAGCCCTTGAGGACTGACTTTGGACACCGCTGATCTAATCCCTCAGTGTCAGCCACTTAAAAAAATCCATACACGTTTTCTTAATCAATTACTACGCAAGAACACAAAGATGCTGCAGCAGCTGATAAAACCAGCCCACTCTAGTTCACAATTTAGTTCTTTGAAGTCTTGTATAAGGAATTTCATTGAACCCTGTATAGAAAGGCTGTTAATATCAGCATGGTCACATTGCATGAAAAACACTTATTATTGTTTAATGTTATTGTTGCTGCTTTTTTCTTTTTGTGTGTGTGTGTGTGTGTGTATCTCTTTTCATTTTATTGCATTAGGTGAATGTTAAGTATTGTTATATAAAAGATTTGTTTTGTGTGCTATCGTTTAAAAATACTGCACCTTTAGGCAGATTATGGTAATAAATTCAAACCTATTGTTTACAGCGAAATTCTAAACGCCCAAGTGTAGGGATGTGGATAAATTTTTTAATCCTACACCAATATTAAATCTGACAGCGGATTCCAAAAGTACATTACAAACTAGGGTTGGGCATAATCGTATCGTGTGCAATTAATCGCCAGAAAAACATTAATCTATTATTTTCTGGCACTTGATTAATACGATTAATGCCACTCAGAGCTCCTTTCCGCTTCAACTATGACAAACATTTAAAAAAGTTTATTTATCAACACAATTTAAACATTGATGTACAGCCTGGAGTCTGTAATTTTGAAACAATTTGGAACAGATTTTTATGAAGCACAAATCTTTTCCACTAAATTGGTCATGTGACCAGGACATAAGGGTGTCCAGGGGATTAATCGTCAAATTAATTGTTATCGGCCAAATACCACAATTAATCGTGATTAATTTTTTTTGCCTATATTGCCCAACCCTATTACAAACCAAACAAAATAACACCAAAATCCTGTGATTATCTCAAGTATGAGGGAAGTTATTGATGTTTTCTTGCTGCAGTTCACAGCAGAACCAATGGGGCCATTTCACCTTGCTGTTTCCTATTTTTGCTCATAACTTCCTCAGTGTTCAAGATATCGCCATGAAATTTTAGGAAAAGATTCACGTTTTTGTAGGAAGCACCTTGTATCCTAAAAACTAATAAAACTTAATAATAGCCAATTCAAAAGTAGCAGAAAGGGATCAAAATAATATTACAAGACAAACTGCAGCATCAAGTCAACTTCATGTGTCTTAGAAAGTAAGGAAATTAAAACAATTTAAAAACCATGTGGACATCTGTTTTGTAAACAAAGCTCCTCAACCAATGACAGCGTCTTAAATGTGTCAAGTGACGAAGACGAGCAACAACACATTTTGCTAACAAGTGCTGTTCCGGATTAAAAAAACATGCTTCGACGTATCAAATCATCATCAAATTTAGAACAAGGGCAGATAAAATAATGTTCTTCGTGGCAGCTTATCTATTTACGGGGTCACTAGAAAAACTCAGGTGATTTACTTTGATCCTGTTTTCAAAAAACTCTCTTCAAAATGCATCAACAAAAAGTAAAAACTGGAAGACGAGGCTGTAACTAACTACCTGACGTCAGTGCGCTTTGTTGAAATTCGTAAAAATAACGAAACAGGAGGAAATTACAAGCAAACACACCGAGCAGCCTTGCAGTTTGGGAAGAAAATGGCAGCAGCTGCTGACGACATGTCAACATCCCTACATGTAGCATTGTTATATTAAATGTCAATTTTTATTTACATAGCACATAAAAAACAACAGAAGTTGGCCAAAGTGCTTACATAAGCTCCTTACAATTATAAATATATCATTAAATGAGTTTGACGTTAATTTGAAACAAGAGCAGAGCACACAAGCCTTAGCTTTCTCTTAAGATAAAGACATGCTAATATGCTAACCTGCTCTCAGCGGAGGCCTTTGCCTGAAAGCATTGTCCATTATGGCGGTGAACCAGCCCAAGAAACCGAAGTACGCCGTGTGCATGTTAAAGAGCGACGGAGGAGGCAGAACCTTCGCCTCCTCTGGAAGATCCATAGCCTGCTGTTTCCTTGTGATCCACCAGCCGTGCGCTCGGACGATCAACTATCACCTCTAGTAAAATCAAGGACGCGTTGTGCAACGGGATCGAACGTCCGGACGCAACAATGAAAACTCATTTAAGTTCCGCCTAACTTGTTTCCCAGCAACCGAGGGTAGAAGAAAACTCACCAGCTTCCCGCTGAGGACTAAACAGAGAGCTGCGTTAATAAATCTGTGCTGTCGGGACTTTTCACTTATATTCCTGCTGATTAAAAGGGCAGTGGTGTAAATAACGTTAAAGCAGGCGGAGTTTCTTCTTAAAGCTTCGCACAGAACCCAGGCATAATAATAATAATAAACCTTAATGCATGCTCTATTAAATGCGTCGGAGTGAAACTTAGCGGATTAGCAATACATGCATGCAGAGCTAATGACATCATTGAACGCATTCCAGTCTCCTTCTCCCTCCTCTTCCTCCCTCCTCCTCCTTTTATCAGACACGGGCTGCTGCTGCTACTGGGCTGCCGAGGACACACAGCTCACAGCCGGGGGGAGTTACACCCTGCCCAGCAGCAGCGGCTTCGCTTATCTGAGGGAGCTGACCTATGCATACCAAGGAGTGTTAAAGTCCGGGGATATCCCCGAGTTTTTTGGGGTAAGCGCAAACTATTTCCTGTCGTCATTCGCTGGGCAGACTTTGATTTCCTCCCCCCCCTCCTCCTCCTCCTCCTGCATCTGCAGATAATGCCAAAATGGCTAGAATCGCTCGGTAGCTCGTTTTGCTACTAGCTACTGGTTGCTAGCTTCGCTCTGGTGAGTCAGGCTGAAGATAAATGATTATTGACAAGAAGTGTAGAGTAAACACGAACCTTTAAACACTTGTTTTGATTTAACAATACAGAGCAGGGGGGAAATGAAGGCGACTCGGTGCAGATAGATGATTTTTTTTTCTATGCAGCTAGGTTTACTTCTTCAATAAGGTTTAAAATCAGTGATTTGAGCAACAGTTTGTCTCCTTAATGATTCAGCTCTGATCTCATTTTCATATACAAAATGGGGCCGGTTCATCCAGCTGACAGCACCCCAAGTTTTGCTAACATAATTGGTATTTTTATGGTTTTAATATTACCAATAAATTGTGACCTGTTTTATGTTATATACGAAGTTCATTTCAAAGCCCTGTTATAGCTGTGAAATGTTTATTTACTGCTCAATATTCACAGTTACAGCAGCATACAGTATAAATCAAATTAAGCATTATTAATACAAGGTCTTTATTATCCTTATTTGCATTAGAAATGGGAGTATTGTAGTAATAATGTTGTAATAATAATCCATTCATCCATTCAAGGCACAGAGTCCAACCTACACAGAGAATAAGAACAACTTTGTGCCAAGGATGTACAAAAACTACAACATAATATGCATCTGGTGTTTTCTCACGCTTAAATTTCCAATGTACAATGGGGTATTAGGGCCACACAACGAGATTAAAAAAAATTATTATGAGAATAAAGTCATAATATTACAACATTAAATTCATATAAACATAGTCATAATATTATGAGAGTAAAGTTGTAATATTACAAGATAAAAGTCATAATATTATGAGATTAAAGTCGTAATATTATGAGAATATAGTCGTAATATTACGAGATTAAAGTCATGATATTATGAGAATACAGTCGTAATATTACGAGATTAAAGTCATAATATTATGAGA